GAGAAGAAAAGATTTGGAGGAAATTGCAAGACTAAAGGGGATGGCAAGGGAGGTGGAGATGCCCAAGGATAAGAGTAACAAGGGGAAGAAGCAAAATGGGAAAGATAAAGGAAAAGGTAGGAAGGTGGACGACGGGAAGGAAGATGAGATGAAGAAGTGGGTTGCAGAAAAGTTTGGAGGCTCGTTGAAAATTTTGTCGGAGAAATTGGAAGCAGTGGAGAAGAAGTCGAAGCTGACAGATGGGGAACTGGAGGAATTAAAATTATTGAGGGCGGAGAAGGAACTTAGGGAACTGAGGGAGAGCTCAAGTAACGAAAAAAGGAAGAGGGACACAACTCCGGTACGCCCGAGAGTTGGAAGGTGAGATCACGGACTAATCTGCTGAAAAGGGTGGGAGGGCTAAGACCCCAATGCCAGTTGAAGTTTCCTCAGATGAAGGGAGTAAAGGAAGGGATGCCGTGGTTCAGAATCTGGGCAGCAAAATGGATGAGTCAGGAGGAAGCATGCAAGAAGTAACGATGCTGAAGGTAAAGAAGCCAGTAGTAGTAACTCTGGTGAGGATGCAAAGAAGACTAAGAAAAAACTGGGAAGGACGGAGCATGGAGGAAATGCTGCTGAGAAAACAGGAGAGCAGAAGGACCAAGAGCCTGAGACCGTGAAAGACCAGGGAAAGGATAGACTAGTACCTGGGCTATACTTCAGGGATAGAGTAGTTTACTATGATGCAATGCATTACACAGAGATCCATTCTTTGTGTAAACAGAAAGTGATCACTTATAGAAAGAAAGAAGCGGGGGTCTGGGAACTCACTAGGCTCGACTTTGAGGTACTGCAGAAGCTGGAACATACTGAGGAAAATGGAACAGACACAGAGAATGGTACCAGTGATGGAGAGGAAGAGGAAACGGGTAGTACCTCAAGCTCAGAATCAGATAAAGAATCGGATAAAGATGATATCGCTGGTAACTGAACTGGGCTGAGCAAGAGATCCTTGCTTAGAGCCTGCAGGAGAATCATTGACTGTTTCAGTAAATATGGTGGTAACTTTGATAAAGAACTCGACACAGTTTTGAAACTTTTGATTCTTGCTTTGTGTCTGCGAGGGGACTTGAGATGGGGAAAAGCATATTTGAAACATTGGACAGGCATGACTAATGAGCAAAGGGAAAAGATTTTAAATGCAGATAACTGTGTATATGTGTTGATCTCTCCATTCTTTAAACTAACCTATGTTGGTAAGACTGAGAGAACACTGCAAACAAGATGGCAGGAGCATATACGCGCTGCCTCCTCCAAGCACAAGCAGAAAGTGCACAGGTGGTTGGAAAAGGTGGGGGTAAACAGCTATGTGGCTCTACCCATCTGGTTAGGGACTGGCGATGCTCTCTTAAGAATGGAGAAGTACACTATTGGAAGTGTGAATCCTGGGCTGAACACCAGAAGAACGAAAGGAAAACCCAGCAATAGGAAATCAAGAAGGCAAAGAAAAGACCTTCGGTCTGTAGATAAGTTGAGAACTCCACTGTTATTTGATTGCCAACAGCTGGGTTTTTGCAATGAGCCTAGTCTCTTGAAGATTCTGAAAAAGGCAGGCAACATTAAAAGGCGTGCAATTTCAAATGCGAAAGGTGATAAATGGTTGTATACATGGGGTTTGGTGAAATTATTGTATGGTAATAGTGGTATAGAAATATCAGGGCAGAACATGTTGCCGAGGGATGCAAAGCAGCAGATACAGGAAGGGGGAAAATGGGTTATCACTGAAGTAAAGAGGACTAAGAACAAATAAGAAATGGCAAAGAAGGAAGCTATCACGATCCTCAGAACACCTTGGAAAAGGAAGGCGTTGTACAAAAAGAGCCTTGAGAAGCTACTCCACATTAACTCAGGGATCAAACTGATTAAAGCAGTAAGAGGAAGGCAGATTACACGTGGAATTATTACTAGAGTGACAAAGAAAGTGTACGGTGTAAATCCTAGATATAGGATCACTGTAAAAATGTCGTTCTGTGAATCGGTTAGCAAAGGGAAAGTGCATGATTTTGTAAAGAACTGGTTGAAACAGAAGATAGCTCCTACCGCACTATCAGACCTGTTGGCTGGCAGGATGAGGACAGTATGGCAGATGCAGCATTGGATCCTTTAAAGAAGATGGGCTGCATGGGGGAATCAGAGAAAATTCATATCAGAAGAAGTGAATATTGTACGAACGGAGTTCCTCGATTGAGTGGTTGCAGCACTGAGTACATTCTTGGGGTAAAGCAGGCCCTCACTGGACTAGTTCTTTCTCCACTCGACAGAAACCCTGGAGCAACTCTTGTTGAATGCCCGGTGTTATATGAAAGAGGGATGAGGAGCTTGTACAATGAGAATGAGAACTATAAAAAGATCGAGGAAGCGGAAGATAAAATTCTGAGAGAATTGAAAGAAAAATATCTGAGCCTGAAACTTGGGAAGATTGCCAGATGGGAACATAAAGGTAAGCTGCAACATGCCTACATTCTGTGAAAAGACAAGGAGCTGGATAAAAAAAGGGCCATTGTGCCTTCTTTTCTAAGTCCAACGTCAGGGGCAATGGGTGTTTTGGCGAAATGCTTGAATTTTCTGATAAAAAGGCTGAAAGAAAGACACTTTAACATAACTGGACCAAAGCAGCTAAAGGAGAAGATTGGAAAAGTGAATGAGAGGGCTCACCATGAGCTTGGACTTAATGTTAAAATGACGGCCCAAACTTATGATGTTAAGGAAATGTTCACAAAATTACCTCACCATGAAATTGTAAAAGCAGTGAGATGGTTGATAGATGTATTCCGAGACAAGGGGCATGACTGGATTCGGGTGAAGACAAGTGGGAAGAAGGCATCCTTTGGAAAGTCACATGGGGAAGCTGTTTGGAAATCGATTCGGATGAGTGAACTCGTGACTTTAACTATTTTTCAGCTTGAACACACGTTCTTCTACTCTATGGATCAGATCCTGAAGCAGAACATCGGAATACCCATGGGGGGAAGGGCGAGTCCTCCGTTGGCAAACGTGCTGTGTATTTTTGCGGAGCAGCAGTTTTTGTCCAGCTTGGGGGAGGATGCTAAGTACATTGATGGGAGCAGATTTGTGGATGATTTGTTGCTGATTGGGTGGTATGATGCAAGAGATGAACATGGGGAAGACAAGAGCAACAGGGTTCTTGACAAAATTCGGGGGTGTTATCACAAAGATCTCTCGTTGGAACGGACCGACTGTGGAGACGGAATCCTGGAATTTCTTGAGACCAGATTGGTAGTGACGGATTCGCCGGCCTGGATCTACAGCCTGCACAAATTCAAGAATATCGACACAATCTGGGAAGGGAAAGAGGGACACTATAAAACGCTGAGAAGCTTTGAGTCGTACGCGCCGAAGATACAAAAGTTTGCTGCTATCTCAAATGTACTGAGTCGCATTTGGGACAATACGAACACAAAGGTCACTTTGTGGCCGAGTCTAACGACCTTCATGAAAGAACTGAGAGTTTTGCGCCATCCAAGGGAGCTGCTGGAAGCTGGACTGAGGCGAATGGGTAGGAAGAGACATTCTGAGTTTGAGAAAGGCATGGTGAAACAGTTGTTGAGACGGATGGTGTCTGAGTAATGGGAGGAGGGTGGGAAATCGCCGTTGCATGAAGCCTACAATCTGAAAAGGCCCTAAGTGGTTTTGGCCTTGATCCGGTAAGGGTCACCTGCGGTTACCAGAATAAGAAGCGAAGAACAGGACAAAAATGGGCTGGTCCTGGAAATATCCACTCATCTGGTACTACTTTTTGGCCGATCGCATGAACAGCCGCCGCTGGGAGTCTCCCCGGGGACTGGCTGCACCGAATGGATGAGTAGTTTTATTTTATTTTATTTTATTTTATTTTATTTTATTTTATTTTATTTTATTTTATTTTATTTTATTTTGATTTTCTAATTTTGTGGTAATCTTTAATTTTGAGGTTTTTTCACATTGGACAGCCGCCACCGTAACTTTGGACGCTGGGCTGCGCCAAGTTTTTCAGCACGGACTAGCCGTTTTCAGTAGAGTTACTGAAGTACGGGCTAGAGATATATATTCCGGTACTGGGAGCGAGTACTCCTCTTAGCCTGAGCAGTGGACAGAAGGGTTGAGCGCCGATGGTTCTCATTGGCAGTTGTGCAGGGATTCTATGCTGCGAAAGTAAAGTCCGTGGATTCCTGTTTGTGTAATATCAATATCTAGCTGGTAGGATGGGAGTATGGCATAGCAGCAGCAGAGATGGTGGCTCCACTGCAGTCAGTCTTGCCGGAGTGAGGTATAGTGGATTGATGGGGGGGTTTCTGAGTCATTTCTGAATTTCGCTTGATCATGAAGATTGTCCTAGACATGTCTGAAGTAGCTTCAATTTTTCGAGCCAAAGCCGGGTAATGGCCCCGGTATCTCAATTTCCAAAATTCCATCCTTGGGCCAATAGATTCTTCTAGTTCGTCTCATTTTCATGAATTTTCTGTTGAAGTTTTACGAGCATACTCGTTATGGGACGCTGGGCCCGGTTCCCAGTTTGTGCCAATTTGTGAGGATATGGTTGTATCTATGGGACGCTGGACCCGG